ATGACAAAGAACATTCGCAAGAAGAGACGCACCGCAGCTATGGGCCTTGCCGCACTGTACAGAAAAAGAAAAAACGAGTGCATCTGCCCACGAGATGTGGCAAAATACATTCCTTACTATTATAGCAAACGGATGAACCTGTCCATTTGATGTGGGAAGATGCATCGTTCCGTTTTTCTTTTCGTGTACCTTGCGGCTACGTCCTGTATATTGTAGAGACAAACAAATCACATTTAAGAACTTAAAATGGAACAATGACAAAGAACATTCGCAAGAAGAGACGAACCGCAGCTATGGGCCTTGCCGCACTGTACAGAAAAAGAAAAAACGAGTGCATCTGCCCACGAGATGTGGCAAAATACATTCCTTACTACTATAGCAAACGGATGAACCTGTCCATTTGCTGTGAGAAGATGCATCGTTCCGTTTTTCTTTTCGTGTGCCTTGCGGCTACGTCCTGTATATTGTAAAACAGAGCTGCCCGGTAAACAGTAGAGGCTGAATATATATATTGTCACATAGATCGTCAAATAGAACTGCCCGGTAAACCGTAGGCAGAGAGGGAGAAGAGGACAACAAACGAGGGGCTGTGATATATCGTCACAAGGTTATCAGAGCGCAAATTAAAGCGAAAAAAAAAAACAAAAGGACACAAAAAAGATATCAATTCATTTTTTATCTCCTTACAACTCCCCCTGTTCTCTTGCGTACAAGGCCGCCCACGTGGATGTGGTTCACCGGCGGCTGCACCCACCCCCGTGTGTCATATGGACCCACTTGCACACAGCCAAAAGGCAAAGAGGCAAAGAAAAGAGGAAAGGGGCCAAATAAAACAGAACAGGGGGACACAAACATAACACATCCTAGATGACAAGTCCCACATGCAAGTACCGCCCCCTACATCACAGGCCAAACGACGGGACAATGACCAACCAGGATATCAATCAAATCAACACCCTCGCCTGCAAAAAAAAACAATCCCAGATAACAAACCCCTCGTGCTCACCAGCATAGACCCCCTATCATGGTTTCAACGCATGCTTCGCTGGTCTAAACTGAAATACTGGGACCCCACCAACGGCAAAAAAAAAAAAATGAAGCCCTCAGGGCCCTTTCTTTTTTGTAAACCCTTTATTTTTTGTAAATATATATATATAAAGACAATCCCAGATGACGATTCCCACCTAAAGGCACCGCCTCCCATCAATAGGCCAAACAACGGGACCCAGCCATATCCCTGTAGGATGCCAAATAGATATCTACGATACATATATAGCCATCGCTACCGGTAGTGATACTTCCCCTTCTGTTCAGCAATCGCAAAAAGATTTGAAAAGACGAAAAATAGAAATCATCGAAAATAAAATTAGAAAAAAAAAAAACAAAAAAACTTCCCTCTCGCACGATTCCGAAGGCGAGGTCCCACAGGCAAAGAGGATTGAATTGAATGCCTGAATATGGACGTGTTTGTGAAAAGGTGCAGAAAATCGAGAGTGAACTCTTTTCTGCCTCTCCACAAAACATATAAAGATTCAGGAGCTTAATCTAAACCCAAACCCTCTTCGCTACCGGTAGTGGGACCTTGTCCCAGAGGATCGACTCTTCATACCCAGTTCCCACGTCCACTAGAACTTGGAAAAGAAAAAACGCGTGATTTCGCCGTCTGTCGGGATGTTTATGATGATCTCCGTCAATTGTACAGCAAGAGCGGGGGCCAAGTCCCACTTACCCGAATGATCGATTTCCGACCGCAGATTTGGAAGATCAACGACCAGAAATCAAGGATCAGCGTAAGTGGGACTTGCCCCGGGTTTCGAAAAGGCACACTGAAATCGATGAGCAGACGGATGTGAAAGCGCAATACTATAAAAAAAAAAAAAAAGCGCAATACTTCATGATTACTGCCTAGGATTCTTATTTTTCTTGTGTGATTAGAAAGAAATGAAGTGTGCGGAGATTTGCACGCAAGTGTGAAATGTTATGTGCAACTGGTGCCAGTCTGCGTGTTTTTTTTGTTTTTTCGTTTTGTTTTTTTTTTTCCGAGTTCTAGTGGACGTAGCAACTGGTGCCAGTGTGCGTGTTTTTTCTGTTTTTTCGTTATTTTTTTTTCCGAGTTCTAGTGGACGTAGCAACTGGTGCCAGTGTGGGTGTATTTCTTTTTTTCGGTTTTTTTTTCCCGAGTTCTAGTGGACGTAGCAACTGGTGCTAGTGTGCGCGTTCTTCTTTTTCCCCTTGTTAGACCGGGCGGACCGGCCATGCAAGGGTCAGGGGAGGGGCCCTCGAATGGGCGCGCTACCAATAATCCCGACGATTCCTCAAACACCGGTCGGTCGTACCCCTCGAATGGGCGCGCTACCAATACTCCCGGTCCGTCGTACCCCTCGAGGGAAACGACCGCTCGGCCCATCGGTCCTATCCCTCGAACGGGCGCTCTGCTCCTGAGCACACATAACCATCGGTCCTATCCCTCGAACGGGCGCTCTGCTCCTGAGCACACATAACCATCGGTCTCGTGATCGGCTGAACCAGTTACCGAGTGCCACGTGTCTTCTTTCCTACCCCTGATAGCAGCAATTCAGCAGGATCGAACATTCCCAGAATAAATTTCACGGTCATTATCGCTGTATCTAGAGTGAAAGCTGTCCCAAACTCCGCTATCATGACCATTGATCATTCTTTTTTGCTTTCCTTACAGGCTTCGATCACGCAATCTACATCAATCAACATCCAGAACCTAGACCGTTGATCGTTGTGATTACCTTCCGTCCAGGGTTCAAACTAGTATCTAGACTGAAAGTGGTCCTACACTCGGCGCTAAAATGACCGCCGCACATCGTTCTGTCCGTGGGCAAGGTCCCACTTGCACGGACTAAGAGATGTATGGTCGTTGATCTCTGCTATCTACGCTCAATATCGCTTGATTCGCGTAGGTGGGACCTACCGGTAGCCCCGGGGGAAACGACGGTAGGTCCAGACCCTAATTGCATACAGCTATCTAGGTGTCTTGTCGTGTTGTTGATTACTCGTTGGCCACGATACTCGTGAGCATGGCATCATTGGTTTTAATGCTAAGTTGCGATGGCCTTCCGTCCAGGGTCCAAACTGGCAAGCAATCTGTCAAGGCAAGATGCCTACTCCTGGTTGTGATCATTGTCCTTCCAGGCCTCGAATCAGAGGTAATCTAATCGATCCATCGAAACGGCAGCCAAGACGACAGATCAGCTGTCCCTGTCCGCCGCCATCCTGGAGCAACGACCTGCCTTCTTCCCCCGTTTACAACGTACTCTGTGTATTTCGACTGAAAGATAGCCCAAACACAGGTATAATGACCCCGTACGTTGTATTGGGGGGAGGAAGGTAAGAAGAATTGGCGGGGCAAAAAAACCGCCGCCTAAGTATCGCGCGAGCGAAGCTAGCAAAATCGATCACCACAAGCAGGGAACGACTGTTCGATGGAATGACGATGATACTTCGTCGATCGGAGGCGTAATGAGGTTGTCACAGGACGGCGCTCCAGTATTCACCAGTGGAATATTCATTCTAATTTTGCGCATTTCGCTCCGTAAATATACGCCGTTCACTTGCCACACACTCGGCGCACACTTGCCACACACTTGGCACAGAATTGGCGCGCACTTGGCACAGAATTGGCGCGCACAATTGGCACAGGATGGCGGCGCAATTGGCACAGGATGGCGGCGCAATTGGCACAGGATGGCCGCGCAATTGGCACAGGATGGCCGCGCACTGGGCACCGAATGGCCGCGCACTGGGCACCGGATGGCCGCGCACTGGGCACAGAACTGGCGCGCACTCGGCACACACTTGTTACACACCTCGTATGTGACACATTCTTTCTCTACGTCAAAATATTGTAACACCCCTCTTGTGCACATGTCGCACATACATATCACTAAACACATCTGCATGCAAGTCCCGGAGCTGCGCGATGAGCCATACGCAGGAAACGAAACAGGGGTTCTGTGACAGAGTGATTTCGTCGCACTTTCACCGACTCAGAGAGAGAGAGAGAGAGAGCGGTATATTTGCGCTCTGATATTTCGTGACAATATATATACATATATTTACATGTCTATATATATGCATCGTCACATGTACGTGTACGACACCATCACAAACAACTAACCGGTGAACCGCCGCCATAAAGGGAGCAAAACAAGAGAGGAGAGAGAGAGAGAGAGAGAGAGAGAGAGAGAGAGAGGGAGAGAGAGAGAGAGAGAGAGAGAGATGCGAACTCAATCGAAAATGAGAGATAGAGAAGAGAGAGGGGGGGGAAACGAGAGCGAGAGAAGGTCACACATCGACGATGCGAACTGAAAGCATGCATGCTCCTTCCACCGCCTACCTTTCGTCCGAAATTGCACATGGTGATGCTACGGTTCCTTTTCGGGCTTCAGATAACGTGAGAGCGAGAGCGAGAGCGGGAGCGAGAGCGAGAGCGGGAGCGACAGAGAGAGAGAGACAGAGACAGAGACAGACAGACACACACAGAGAGGCATTAACAAAGGCGAACTGCAAGGATGCACCTGAGTCCCACCACCTATCTGTGTGTGTGTGTGTGTGTGTGTGTGTGTGTGTGTGTGTGAGAGAGAGAGAGAGAGAGAGAGAGAGGCGAACTGAAAGGATGCACATGAGTTCCATCACCTATCTGTAATCCGAAATGAGAGAGAGAGCACGAG